TTTTGTCATAATACTACTAATGACAATTTTATAAATCCATGCAAGATTATTCCATGAAACGCCAACATGAAGAATGTCACAGAAGTCACGGTATTTATCCTGATGGGCTTCACAGACAAACTTGAAGTACAGATGATTTTATTCTTCCTGTTTTTAGCAACTTACCTACTTACTATGGTGGGGAATTTGGGATTGGTCTTACTGGTGATCGCAGATTCGAGGCTTCATAACCCCATGTACTATTTTTTGAGTGTGTTATCGTCTGTGGATGCCTGCTTTGCCTCGGTGATTACCCCAAATATGTTAACAGATTTTATGTCAAAGAATAAAGACATTTCATTCCTCGGGTGTGCAATGCAGATGTTTTTTGCTGTGACTTTTGGGAGCACAGAATCCTTCCTGTTGGCTGCGATGGCATATGATCGCTATGTGGCCATCTACAACCCACTCCTGTATTCGGTCAGCATGTCACCCAGGATCTATGTACCCCTTATAATCGCTTCCTATGTTGGTGGCATTTTGAATGCTTCTGTACACACGGGGGCCACTTTCAGCCTGTCTTTCTGTGCATCCAATGAAATTAAACACATCTTTTGTGACATCCCTCCTCTACTCTCTATTTCTTGTTCGGATACGAACATAAACCAGATTTTACTCTTCTACTTTGTGGGATCTATTGAGATCATTACTATCTTGATTATTCTGATCTCCTATGGTTTCATCCTGTTGGCAATCCTGAGGATGAATTCTGCGGAAGGAAGGAAGAAAGTCTTCTCTACGTGTGGCTCTCACCTGACTGGGGTGTCCATCTATCACGGAACAATCCTCTTCATGTACATGAGGCCGACTTCCAGCTATGCTTTGGACTATGACATGATAGTGTCAATATTTTACACCATTGTGATCCCCATGCTGAATCCCATCATCTACAGTTTAAGGAACAGAGATGTAAAGCAAGCAATTAAAAAAGTATTTGGTAAAAATTGCTTTATCAATAAAGTATATTCTTCACACTGACAATAAAATTGTAAATGTATTAAGATTGTTGTCTATTGTCTCCATATCAAGAATATTTTACATTTATTAGTATCTTTTTGTTCTTCATGGATATTTTATATATAACATTAGGAATCACATCTTCAACTATGCAGTTCCCACACAGGCAGAAAACCATCATGCACTTGTTTCTGATTTAATACATTTTTATGTACATGCATGAACAAACACATTCATGTACATGTGTGCTGAAGGTGACTGCAGAAGTTTGCTAGAGCATCCATAAGAATGCTTCACAGGGCCCTCCCTAGTGGTGCAACAGGTTAAAGTGAAGTACTGTGAAGCTTTCCACAGCCACTGCAGCACAAGTTTGAAACCCCAGCCAGGGAGGTGACCCACATGGCGCAGCAGACCTCTCCTGACTCACCCGCTGCTCCCCCTGGCAGTGTATTTCAGTGGATCTGTCTGTTCTACTCCCCACTCTGTCTCTGGTGAATCCTCTCAAACCACCCACTTCCCTGCACTTCTGGCCAGTAGCCCAGTTCTTATATGTATAAATAAATCTTTTTTGAAAAATAAAGAAAGAAAAGAAAGCAGAAAGCTTTATATCTAATGGATTGCACCGCAGACAATCATTTTTCACTGTTCTTGATTTTCCCAGTCTGAAATCAAAGTGAAAATAGAGTCAATCTCTTCTGAGACCTTTCTCCTGGGTTTCATAGCCAGCAGTAACATCTTCTTTTCTAGTGCCAAGTGTCTGTGCCCATATATCTTATAATAGATACATTAGTCATCTTGCGTTAGCACCAAGCCTAAAATGCTTACTTAAGTTCATGACTGTGACGCCCAGGAATCTTGGACCTGGGATGTTGAAAGTACTGAGTCACAGGGACTTGAGTGAGGGACTGAGCTCTAGGCACAGTTACCCTCACAGAGAACCAATATCCAAACACAGTCATGTTGTGAGGTAAGGGAGTTGATAGCTTAGCATATGAATGTTTGGTATGTTTGCATACGTCCATTCACATACATGTGAACTCTTTCACATGTTGGTTTAGGATTATGACAACTTTAGTGGATGATGTGGTATGTGGTATTGTATTTGAGCAGTTGTTAACTATACTCCTAAATATTATACATTGTTGTAAGCCAATTATGTTTTATTTAAGAAAAAGCCATGTCTAACATGTATAATGTTAACAGTGCTTCATAAATCTATATATATATACTTGGGAAAAAATGAGAATTCTTTCATTTCTGGTCAAAGCTTAATATACACACATCTACAAAATAATTTTATGGAATGTGTATTTTGTCTTTACATCTTCTTTAATTTTTTTCTTCCCTAATAATTTTAATACAGGAATAATAGATTTTCCTAATATTAGATTTATTCTTTAAATGCCTCTTTGTGTTTCCTGCATGAAATTTCCCACTATGGAGTAGTCCTTGCTGGGTGTAAGTAGCCCTTGCTGGGTGTATTTTCATAGATAACACTGATAGTTAAGCTTTTACTGTGAATTAAACCTTATCAATACAAAATATTCTTATTAATTTATACATTCCTGATCCTGTATTTCTTCACATTAAAACTGAACCAATGTTTTATTTTTATGCCTAGTCTTAATTGTATATTTTTACACATTTTTATTTTTACCATTGTGAAGCAATCTGTCTTATACTTCTTTTTTTTAATATTACAAAAACATTTTCTTTTTATACTTTTGTTAGGTGCATTTACAATTGCCACTCTGTGTATTTTTAGTTTTGGCTTTGTTCTAATTTTCACATTACAATCATATCACACACACATTTTTACAGGTATAAATTTATGTATTTCTCATAGACCAGGAAAACATTCATCTTACAATGTTTCAATGATAAAGGATATAACAAAGTTTCAATTTTCAACTGTACAAAAAGGTGCAAAATTACTATAAGAAATGCCAGCTATTTACTTATATATGCAAAACCTACATCTATATCAAAAACCAGCTCTGAGCAATCAGTTATGCTAAGCCATTTCCATTACCTTATTTTTTCAATATTTTCTATATTTTTGTCAATGATACATCTACCAGCTAAGTACAAATTTATGAAGTATAAAATATTTCCTTTTTGGTTGTTTGTGTGTTTGTATTAAATTAATCAAAAGAGATTTATAAAATACTGAATAAACTGTGGTGGAGAGAATGGCATTTATAAAATGTTCTTTAAAAAACATTCTGCTGCCCTCCCTGGTGGCGCAGTGGGTTAAAGCACAGCACTGAGAAGCTAAAGCCACTTCTGCATGAGTTCGATTCCCGCCTGCCCCGGAGGTGATCACATGGTGTGGCAGACCTCTCCTGACCCGCCCGCTGCTCCCCTCAGCAGTGTACTTTGTAGATCTATCTGCCTATTCTGCTCCCCACTCTGTCTCTGGTGAAGCCTTTCACCACCCCTGAGCCTCTGGCCTGTACCCCAGTTCTGTATGCACAAATAAATCTTTAAAAAAAAAAAACATATGTCTTCAAATGGTAATGGACAATATTGAAAATGCACTAAATATTTTACATGCACCATCAAATTGAATCTTTACAAAAACTCTATGAATATGGAATTAATATTTATCATGTACAGTTTAGGACACTCAGGCTAGAAGTGCAGTGACTTATTGAAGATTCCATAGCTAAAAGGTACACAGATCTATATTTAAATTGGGGTTCCTGGTTCCAGAACAAATATTCACATTCGCTCTGCTACAATTCTTCTGAATATAGTAGGTGAAATGATTTCTGAAGTGGTTTTATTGTGCCAACAATGGAATATTCCATGATAAAATTCTATGATATTAGCCTATGCAAAGGATTCATATGGTATAATTTAAAGATGACAACAGTCTTTTTATTTTACACAACAGAATGCTTAAATGTAGACCTTAAGAAGTCTTATTTTGTGATTTTCATTACAATATGGATTTTGAAAGACATAATTCTTGAAAGCCCCAAAATCATATTTAGTCAAGTAACAGATGGGTCAACTGTACAAAAGCAAATGAAAGGAAACTACTGTTGTAGAGAGGCCTTAAGAAAATATCCTACAGGAAAGATGGGAAAGAGGAGCTTAAACCTTCAGTATCACTATTTCCAGTGCCTGGAGTCCTCTCTCCTCTGCAGGACTCTCAGGACAGCATTTTTCACCTCTTTGTTGCGGAGGCTGTAAATGAGTGGGTTCAGCATAGGGGTCACGATCGTGTAAAACACAGAAGCCACCTGGTCCTTTCCCAGAGAGTAGGATGTACTTGGTCTTAAATAAGTGAAGATCATGGTGCTATAGAAGATGGTGACGGCCAAGAGATGGGAGCCACAGGTGGAAAAGGCTTTTCTCTTTCCCGAAGCAGAATTAATTTTCAGGATAGTAGAGAGAATGGAAATGTAGGAAACTGATATTGTGATAAGAGAGACCACAAGGGTGGAGCCAGCAAAAATGAAAATCATGAGTTCAGTGTCCTGGGTTTCAGTGCAAGAGAGGGCTAAAATTGGGGATGAGTCACAGAAAAAATGATGGATTACATTGGAGTTGCAGAAATGCAATGTCCTCATGCAAAGCTCATTGACTAGAGAATCTATAAGCCCTACAACATAGGACCCGAAAACAAGGGAGCAGCAGCGTCTTGTGGACATGATGACCGGGTAGTGGAGAGGATTGCAGATGGCTACGTAGCGGTCATAGGCCATGGAGGACAGGAGAAAACATTCTGCAGCACCAAACAAGATAAAAAAGTACATTTGGGTGAAGCAATTCACATAGGAAATCTTCTTGTTGGAGGTCAGTAAGTTCCCTATTGTTTTAGGGGTGATGACATTTGAGTAACTGAGATCAATGAAAGACAGGTGACTGAGGAAGAAATACATGGGTGTGTGCAGCTGGGCATCCAGGCGGATGAGCAGTATCATGCCCGCATTCCCCAGCACGGTGACCAGGTAGATCAGCAGAAACAGCACAAAGAGCACCAGCCGGATGTCCTCAGCATCGGCAAATCCCACCAGGATGAAGTCAGCCACGTCTGTGTTATTCCCTCTATGCATTGTGCTCCATTGATTCATCTGTGGAGAAGTTGGAGTTCATTTGAGCAGATCATTCAACAAGTGTTGCTATAAATTATTTGGCATATGTATACTCATTTAATATTTCTAATTTGATAATTGGTAGTAATCAGGAAATGATGGAAAAAATAATTATTTTTACCCAGTATAGAAATAAATGTAAACTGATATATGGACAGGGTGTAATAAAACAAATTGCATTATTATTTCTCATAGTGAATTTATTTCATATGAGAATGCTGTATCATGGTGTTAACTCTTAGATATGTCTTTTAGCGGAGGAAAAGGAGACAGACAGTTTAAGAAATTTGTCTTGTGTCAGAGCTATTAAATAACTTTGTGAGTACAAATATAGGCTGACTCCACATAACATACTCAAATATCATATTTCATATTGTGATTAAATCCAGAAACCTATAAAAATGATATTGACATATAAGGTAATGATAGAAGTATGATGATACTTATGTTTGACTTCAACTTTTATTTAGTAGTAACAACAAATCTAAACCTTAAAGAACTTCATTAAAGTTTATTAGCATAATGAACACTAGCTAATATTAGTACAAATTTTAAGAAGTTGAATAAAGTTTTCCCATTTTAAATCTAATTCTACTAAAATTATAGTACATCATACTTACATCGCGTCAAGACCCTAATCCATTTATTCCGTGTTTCTGTCTCCACAGGAATAGGCGTCACTAGAGTTTTAATGGTGTGTGTGAATATTCTTTTCATAATTGTCATTTCATTTGATCCAACTAAATCCCTGTAATTTTGAGAGTAATACTTACTGTGATTAAGTCTTGGTTGACAACAAACAAACAAACAAAACCTTCCAATGTTGTCAGTCTAGAAATGATTCAACCTAATTCTTCCCTCACAAATTACATATGAAACACATTTGATCAAAAATTTCTGTAATATAATAAAAGTTTCCTCTGAAGCACGTTCTGTCTAAATTTGGGGGCATGCCTTTTTTTAATTCTGGTTTAATAATAATTAACATAGGAATTTTGGGGGATCTGTAGTCAAGTAGAAGTTGGCTGTCAGTGATTGATGTCTACAGAATATGAGAGAGCTACTGTGAATAGAGTCGAGCAGGAATGTCTTGTCTCTCATCCTGATGCTTCCAAAGCACCTCATATATTGGAGATAGTGTAGTGCAATGTTGGGTCATCCTTGAGGGACCAATTTCCAAAGGCTGTTTGGCCAGCTTCCAAGGTCAGTGCTCAAGGATTCTAGGTTGCAAGGGTCTGATCCCTGAGGAACCAACTAATGAAGAACCGGGTGTGGACTTGTACAGTCTCAAATATTGCAAAGACGGTGAAGAACATATTTCAGATACAATCCTAATTCATCTGTTTTAAGTCATCAAGGATGGAATGATTTATTTTTGGAGGAATGTTGTTATATTTCATAATGGGATTATATTATGATTCTGCCAGACCATAGACAGCTGGTGCCTTAACATGGTGTATTTTTCACACTGACCATTACTCTGAAACTAATAAAGAATTGCACTCTTTGCCTCACAATCAATATTATAAAAATAGATATTTTTGTAGCATCTTTTTTATTTTTAGCAGGCATTTTCACATAAAGATCATAACCACACCTCCACCTATGAAGTTACCACACATACAAGAAACTCTGTCATCCCCTGCTCTTTCTTCATCAACTCTAAAATATACACCTGTGCACATACACATGTCAACACATGTGCACAATCATGCTGACATGAGCATGTTTGTATATCAGGGTGGTTGTAACCAAATCCCACAGACTGGGATCTTCAACAACAGCAATCTATTTCTCACTGTTCTACAGTCTAGAGTCTGAGCTCAAGATGAAGTTGGCAGATTTCATAATGGTGAGGTCTAAATCTTTCACTTTTTTGCAGTCGTCATCTCTAGTATGTTAACGTGACCATCACACTCCCTGCATCTGTGCTGTGACCTTTATTTTCCATAACACCAGTCCCATTGGATTAGGGGCACTCTTAAGAACTAAATTTAAGCTAATGACCTGCATAAAAGTCCTATTACTAGAATTACATACTGAAATATCAGGAGTTATATCTTCAACATATGAATATTGCTTTATACAAATACACATTCACAAATAAACATACATATATAATGTATAAATATTTTTACATACAGAGTCAATTGGACTCTAAATACCTTCACAACCATATAATTTGATTCAATTCCAGTAGATTCAATTTCAGTAATTTCAGGTAATCAACTTCATAATGACATTTGACTAGCCAGGCAACTACCATGTAATTCATAATAACCAGTTTGCATAGTGAAAACAATGTATCTAGTAACCCTTAAAAACATTAAAAGAAAAATCCAACACATGTAATGTGGAAAATTACTTTCTTCAATAATATTTAGAACATATAAAAACCTTTTTAAATAGATTTTTAAAATCACCATAAGAATGATATGCACATGATAATTTTGAACCTTGAGTATTGCAATAAAATTCAGTCATACCAGATTATGTAAAGAAAGCTATATATACATATATTATAATTCTACTTATTCAGATACCATCAGTTTACAACACTGTAGATGATTTAGGGGAATAGGCTCTCAGTTCCTAAGGTATATATCTCCACTCCCACCATGAAAGCTCCCCGGACCTTAGACAATGGTGCCCCTCCCACCTGTCTCTACCACATCTTCAAGCCTCTTTACAGCCTCAAACTCCAGGATTCAGCAATTCTACAAATTTCTAAGGTTTATTTTTTAAGTTTATCATTTGTTAATTTTTTCCTGTAGAGAATATCTTTTAAATGAAGGGAAATTGAACACTCAACATCACTAAAGTTAATGATGGCCACATAATCTGTACTTATTATCAATTCCTAACTCTATAACTTTTCTCTGTTAAAACATGGAAAACAATGAATGAAACATTGATTTCAATAATTAACGAGTAAAAAACATAGCAAAACTTAGAAACCAAGAGAAGGGAAATGGTGTATTAAAATGGACAGTTTTCAACAAAATTAGTAGTGACTGAAGCTGTTAACATGTCACTGGCAGGTAGCTGCTTTATTGATAAACATATTATCAGCTAGAAACCAAAGATATGTTACATGGAGAGTTTTAAATTGATGCCTGTGCAACATTTTGGGTCCTTAACAACCTGATATGGGAGTCTTGCTTGTTTACATGCACCAAGTTTGCACTGCATTCATCTTACAATGTTTCAATGGCAAGGCAAATAAGCAAAAATTTCAAGAGTATCAGACAGTTGCAAAAAATTGTATAGGACA